GGAATATATAGGCATGCAGAAGGTTTATACAGAAACAGAGCAACTAAACAGAAACTAACTAAAACAGAAAGAGGTTTGAATTACAACAGCTAACAATATTTAGTCATTACTCATCTCATTAGTACTGATGATTCTTAATTTTTTTCCTGATTACATTAGTCAACCAAAATCTTCCAACTCCATCTTTTGATTTGAGCCATAGGTCTAGTTTTTGCGGATTACGATTTCATAGTTTTGTCGTATGTGTATTGATTCATTTTTTATCATGCAGGTGTCTGTTTTATGTCTAATGAATTGGTAAGAACTCATTTCCTCTGAACGTTTACGTATCATACTGCACAAAATAGTGGAGATATTCACTATACACTGTTTTTAACCATATGCACCTACACATACACAACAGATTATCAAACTTCTGTATGTTTAAGGAAAAAATATCATGACTATTGCAACCTAATTTACAATTCATTTGACATTGCAGCCAAGGTATGTGGTGAATCAAGTGACAGCTGGGAATTACGATTGTCCAAAGAAGGTCTTAAAGTTCTTGACAGACCTCCATGCTGCATTTCGTATGCTTAATCTTCGCAATGATCTTTTGCGAAAGAAGTTTGATGGTATGTTATTACTTGTACCTTGTCCATGCCTTCTTTCTTTTCCTTTCTATTGTCATCACACTACCTAATGATAGTACTGTCTTTGTATTCTCAATGTTGACACACACACACACATACATATATATAACAGATATGTCTCACTCTCCATTCCCAAAACACGTGCACCAAAGATACCTGCACTGTTTGCATATATTACTTTTTCTAGAGGAGTTGACTGATACCGTCCGTTTGCATGATATCTTTCAACCTTTAACATGGCAGGCATGAAGTATGACCTAAGAAAAGTAGAAGAAGTTTATTATGATGTTAAAATTCGGGGTTTGACACCGAATGGTGAGCTAATTGGAGACCTGGAGATCAAGGAACCAAAGGACAATCGTTTGTTGTGATAGCTGTTAAGCTAAAACGAGAGAACTTACGACATGGAGCTTTACCGACTGCTCAACAATTATGCACCTTAAATAGTTTGATAGGCTGCTGGACTTTCTCTTTAGCTGTAACTGAACTTTTCCATCACCGCCACCACCACCTCTACAACCACCACCACCACCAATTGCCAATACCCACACCACCACCACTATCAACACCAATACCACTACCTAACCACATTCACCAACACCACCCCACCCAACACCAGCACCTCTAATACCAACACGACCACCAAACAATACCCCCCCCCCCCCCCCCCCCCCCCCCCCCCCCCCCCCCCCACCAATGCCACAATCACCACCACCACCACAACCAGGGTGTTTTCACAATGTCTAAATGGAATAGTTTTTTTTTAATCTCTCACGTCTTTGGTAATCAATTAACTGATGAAGTAATTTCCTGCTATAAATTGATATTAATTAAGGAATCCAGGAGACATGAAAGTGAGAATCAAGGAGGTAATTTCGTTTATTTCTTAACAAGTAACACGCTACGTATAAGCTTAAATTGGTGTAGGGATAACCGGTCTGACTTTGATTATAATTGTCTCTATTTTTCTGTAAAAGTTAACATCTATTCTAGATGCTCATTTGGATTTTAGCTTTTATTTTTGTTTTTGTTAAAGCAATGGTATTGTGATATTTGTGTCTATATTTATATTTATTTGAATATTAACTAATTCTTGTTAATTAGTTATTACTTAAAGAAGTATTATTACGACAATAAAATCTCATTTAGGTTCATTTCTTATATCTCATCAATCACTTGTTTCTCTAGTACATATAATTCAACAAAAAAAAATACAACAGGTTAAATCAAAATCTAAGAGAATCTATATTATGACATAAAATATATTTCTAAAATCAAAATTTATGTGAAGAAATAACATCTATTCACACCAACTTAGTCGTAGCACGTTTTTCTCTCTAAAAATGAGAAATTTTAGAATTAAAAATATTACACAATCGAATAAAACTTTCATCTTTTCCTGATACACCAAGAGACCACTAACTGAAAATCATATTCCCATCATTGAAGAATAATATTATAAAAATAATTGGTGCCTAATTTATTTAAATCAATAAAAACAATGGCCAAAAGTTATAATATGTTTAAAATCTAATTTGAAAAAATGAAAAGTTATAAATATAAAAATAGATTTCTAAATAACAATGACGTAAATATCCAATATATTATAAAAAGTAAACATTGAAAAAAGATGTGTATATGAAAAAAAGAACATGATAAAATTATATATATATATATTATATGATGACAAATTTAGACAATGCCTAAATGCAGTTTATATGCCATCGCATCACAAAGTGAAGTCTTCAAAATTTAAACAATAGTAATCTCAAATTTAACCTGTTAAATTAAAATTTTATAATTTTTGTAGGCTTTTGATTTTGTTGTATTAGTTAACAAATATTTTTAGTAGTGAGTTTTGTACATGCTAATCTTGAATGAAACGCGAAGCAAATAGTAATTTTTCTTTTTGTTAAATATTAAAACTGACACTTTTTCAACTATTGACTAGGGATTTTCATCTCTTTATTTTTTTAATCTTTCTCTTTTAGAAAAATTATAATTTTGATTTGTTGTTCTTTTACATTTTCATAAATGAAAGTATGTTTTTTATTGTATTTTAAAACATGTTTGGTTTGAAGTGTAATCAAATAATAGGCAATAAATTAAAGTGTAAATAAAATTGGAAATTAGAAATTTTTGTAAGATTATTTAAAACATAACTAAAATCACAAAAAAGAAAAAACAGGACTCTACTCCAAAAAAAAACTAAGGAACCCAACTATGTTCCCTGTTATGTTATTTGTCAGCAATTCTTATATTTTGTGTTATGTTACCGTATACAAGGACGAGATTATAAGGGTGAGTCACGTTAAATAGAAATGATAAAGTTATTGTATAAAGTTGAAAAATTCATTTTCTTAAAATTTTAGATAAAGAATAATATCAATTTTTTTTGTGTGATTACTCATCTTTCTAATAAATCTCATCCTGAACCAACAACGTAACCTATAAGCGATAGATTGAACTTACTTGCCAGCACCAACTAAGAAAAACCATATATAATATCATCACATGCAACCTATGCATGCTATTTCTATCCACATCATGCATGAACTGGCCATCTTCTTTTCTATTTCCACCATCTTCAAAATCCCTGCTACATCCTTGTACTTTTCTTTAGGCTTGTCATGGTAGTTTGCTTTCTGTGTTACATCATAGATATTGGTCTTTTCTTTTTCAACGTTTCTATCACTTTTACCCTATTTCAACGCCATTTCACTAAGATTTAATTTTTGAATCTCGTGCAAAGGATAATGGTATCTCCTCTTTGATTTCAGTTTTCCCTACCTCTGTCATATCAGATACAGAAATAATTTGACGGCTCATGGCTTATCTTTCGGGTTGCTTCTATGATTTTTTTAAAAGTTTTTCTTTGCATGAAAACCATAAAGTTTCTTTCATAAAATGCTTTTAGAGTACCTGAATTGCGATTGCTAGAGTAAGATAATCATTTCATTTCACACAAGAAAATATCAGACAAAGCTGTTAACATTAATAAATCCAATTAAACTATGCATGCAAATGAGTAAGAGACTGAAGATCTGTTTATTTCAGGTAAAGAACCAAGTTTTCTCACTAGAGAAATGAAATTAGTTTAATCACACTTCTTAATTATGTTTACTAGCTTATGACAGTTCTATCTAACATCTGTTCTGTTTAACTTTAAAACAAAGAAACGAACGCTGTAATACACACATCACATCACATTTTAACAACAGTACCCGCTTGTTGTACCATAGATATACATTTTCATGTCAAAATGATTGTGTGAGAGGGCCCGAGGAAGATGAAGGACACATGTCAGCAGCTTATTTACGATTAGTTTAGCAAAACTTAGATGTTCTTCACTGTTGTTTTTCATCACAATTGAAGTATAACTTTAATAATGATCATAATGAAAATTTACATTGAAGAATATAAGTTTGGATAGTAAGGTAAAACTGATTCTAATGGAAAACAATACCAGAAATACATAAAGAGCTGCATATGTAAGTTTTATCCTGAACTGGGTAAAACCTCATTCTTTCAGGAAATAAGTTTAAAATTACATGTCTGAATTAAAGCTAAGAAAGTTCAAAAAACATAAATTTATTTGTACATCAAAACTTGTAACTGTGTACTGAAATTGTAAAAAACAATTTTCAAATTTGAATCCAATCATAGTGAGAAGAAAACAAGAATGTCATTCTTATGAACAATGTTAGCTTCAAGTAGGATAATGCTGATAATGCATAACATCTACTTATGTAATTTGAAGTCCAAAATAAGAAGATAGAATCTGCTGTTGCCTATAATTCTGTCTTCCATTTTAGGACATTCTGCAAACCTTATTTCTGACAATCAAACTCTAAAACATTATTTAAAACTCTTATATATGGAATGACAACTAAAGACTATGGACCTTTTTTTTCTTCCATAGAAAATAGTAGGTATTACTTCTCAAAACCAAGGTTTCCACAGACTCAACCGACACTAAATTTTAAATTTCACACACGATTCTGACATAATAAAATCCCCACAGTAAGTATACAGAGAGGCATTGCTCCCTAAACGGAAGCATGGATAGGAATTAATGGAGGGATGTAGGTGGGCCACTTAGGAAGAAGTAATAACAAAGTGATAAAGTGGCCTGTAGCACCAGCTCATGTGAACAGAAAATGCACGTGGAATGGGAGCAAACTAATCCAAATCAAATAATTTCAGTGCACAAAATGGATGGTGATTGCAATTGTGTTAGTGCTTATAGTAACCAAGTTCCTGTAATTCCACTTCTCATTCTACAAACACAGAATATCACTTGCACTATGAATCTTATCATATCTCAATTTGAACAACTACCTCGTTTAGCCTTGAAAACCCTATTTCATCTTATGTTTTGGACAAGTAGTCATTGGATTTGGGTGAATGAATAGCTGTTACATCAATAAGTTTGCACAGATATATGATCCATTTCAATTTGCAGTAACGATGTTGCTACAAAATGATCATCATAACACAAACTAAAGATAACAGCTGTTGGAAGAGGAGACTAAATTAGTGTGAAAACAAG